TGCTTCTATGTCCTTTAGGTGTGCTGTTAGATTTTATATTTGGGATTTTTTTGGTGTGTCTTGAGATAGGCCTGGATTGCAATGTATTTTCCTCTCAGAACTGCCTTTGCTTCATTCCAAAGCATTTGGATTACTGTATTTTCTTTTTTTTTTATTAAAAAAATTTTTTTAACGTTTATTTATTTTTGAGACAGAGAGAGACAGAGCATGAACGGGGGAGGGTCAGAGAGAGAGGGAGACACAAAATCTGAAACAGGCTCCAGGCTCTGAGCCATCAGCACAGAGCCTGACGCAGGGCTTGAACTCACAAACCGCGAGATCATGACCTGAGCCGAAGTCAGACACTTAACCGACTGAGCCACCCAGGCGCCCCTGGATAATTGTATTTTCGTTTTCATTTGTTTCCATATATTTTTAAATTTCTTCTCTAATTGCCTGGTTGACCCATTCATTCTTTAGTAGGGTGTTCTTTAACCTCCTTCAAGTTTCATAGCATTGTGGTCCTAAAGTGTGCATGGTATAATTTCAATTCTTGTATACTTATGAAGGGCTGTTTTGTGACCCAGTATGCGATCTATCTTGGAGAATGTTCCATGTGCACTCGAGAAGAAAGTATATTCTGTTGCTTTGGGATGCAGAGTTCTAAATGTATCTGTCAAGTCCATCTGATCCAATGTGTCATTCAGGGCCCTTGTTTCTTTATTGACCGTGTGTCTAGATGATCTATCCATTGTTGTAAGTGGGGTATTAAAGTCCCTTGCAATCACCACATTCTTATCAATAAGGTTGCTTATGTTTGTGATTAATTGTTTTATATATTAGGAGGCTTCTGAATTCAGCACATAGACATTTATAATTGTTAGCTCTTCCTGATGGATAGACCCTGTGATTATTATATAATGCCCTTCTTCATCTCTTGTTACAGCCTTTAATTTAAAGTCTAGTTTGTCTGATATAAGTATGGCTACTCCAGCTTTCTTTTGACTTCCAGTAGCATGATAGATAGTTCTCCATCCCCTCACTTTCAATCTGAAGGTGTCCTCAGGCCTAAAACGAGTCTCTTGTAGACAGCCAATAGATGGGTCTTGTTTTTTTATCCACTCTGATACCTTATGTCTTTTGGTTGGAGCATTGAGCCCATTTAAATTTAGTGTTATTATTGAAAGATATGGGTTTCGAGTCCTTGTAATGTCTGTAGGTTTCATGCTTGCAGTGATGTCTCTGGTACTTTGTCGTCCTTGCAACATTTCACTCACAGAATCCCCCTTAGGATCTCTTGTAGGGCTGGTTTAGTGGTGATGAATTCCTTCAGTTTTTGTTTGTTTGGGAAAACCTTTATCTCTCCTTCTATTCTGAATGACAGACTTGCTGGATAAAGGATTCTTGGCTGCATATTTCTGCATATTTTTTCTGTTCATCACATTGAAGATTTCCTGCCATTCCTTTCTGGCCTGTCAAGTTTCAGTAGATAGGTCTGCAACTACTCTTATGCCTTTGTAAGTTAGAGCCTGTTTATCCCTAGCTGCTTTCAGAATTTTCTCTTTATCCTTGTATTTTGCCAGTTTCACTATGATATGTCTTGTGGAAGATCAATTCAAGTTACGTCTGCAGGGAGTTCTCTGTGCCTCTTGGATTTCAATGCCTTTTTCCTTCTCCAGAGCAGGGAAGTTCTCAGCTATGATTTGTTCAAGTACACCTTCAGCCCGTTTCTCTCTCTCTCTTCCTCTTCTGGAATTCCTATGATACAGATATTGTTGGTTTGATTACATCACTTAGTTCTCTAATTCTCCCCTCATATTCCTGGATTTTTTTTCTCTCTTTTTCTCAGCTTCCTCTTTTTCCATAATTTTATCTCCTAATTCACCTATTCTTTCCTTTGCCTCTTCAATCCGTGCTATGGCCACCTCCATGTTATTTTGCACCTCATTTATAGCATTTTTTAGCTCTTCATGACTATTTCTTAGTCCCTTGATCTCTGTAGCAATAGATTCTCTGCTGTCCTCTGTACTTTTTTCAAGCCCAACGATTGATTTTACGACTATTATTCTAAATTCTTGTTCCATTATACTGGTTAATTGTCTTTGATCAATTCGTTAGCTGTCGCTACTTCCTGGAGTTTCTTTTGAGGAGAATTTTCCCATTTCGTCATTTTGGGTAGTCCCTGGGGTGGCATGGAACTGCCGGGCTCTTCCTCTGTGCTGTCTGGAGTAACTTGTGTTGGTGGGTGGGGCTACAGTCAGACCCGATGTCTTCCCCCAGCCCACCAGTGGGGTCACGGTCAGACTGGTGTGTACCTTATCTTCCCCCCTCCCAGGGGCAGGACTCACTGTGGAGTGGTGTGGCCCCTGTCTGGGCTACTTGCACACTGCCAGGCTTGTGGTGCTGCTTCTATGGGATCTGATGTATTAGCCGGGGTGGATCCGCAAGGTGCACAGAGACGGGAGGGGCAGACTTAGCTCGCTTTGCTGTCAGTAGTCCCCTGTGGGAGGCGTCCTGCAGCACCAGGAGGGAGGCCGACCCATTGGAGGGATGGATCCACAGAAGCACAGTGTTGGGCATTTGTTGGGGAAGCAAGTTCGGTGATGGGAACAGGTTCTCTTTGGAATTTCGGCTGGGGAATGGGAGAGGGAGATGGCACTGGCCAGTGCCTTTGTTCCCTGCTGAGCTGAGCTCTGTCTTCTGGGGCTCCACAACTCTCCCTCCCAGTGTCCTCTCGCCCTCCCTGCTCTCAGAGAGCAGAGCTGTTGACTTTTAACATTCCAGATGCTAAGTCCCGCTGGCTGCCAGAACTCATGGAGTCTGGCCCCTCTGCTTCTGCAGGTCAGACTCAGGGGCTCTGCCTTGCCCGGCGGGCTGCCCCTCCACCACCCCGGCTCCCTCCCGCCAGTCCATGTAGCATGCACCGCCTCTCTGCCCTTCCTACCCTCTTGTCTACACTTGGCTCCGGAGGGTCTGTTCTGCTAGTCTTCTGGCAGTTTTCCGGGTTATTTAGGCAGGTGTGGGTGGAATCTAAGCGATCAGCAGGACGAGGTGAGTCCAGCGCCCTCCTATGCTGCCATCTTCCCCTCTGAGTCCCCCAATTTTTTTTTTAAATAAGATCAATTTCTTTTAAAGAGAAATCATATTACTCCTTCCATTCTAATTTTGATCCTTTTCTTTCTTTCTTTTTCTTTCCTTTTTTTGGCGAGTTGCTCTGTCTGGAACCTGCATTATACCACGTTGTATATAAAGGTATGACAAACATGCTTATCCTGCCTTATCTTAGGGGTCACTCTCAGTGTTTCACTTTTCAGAATCATTTTAGAGGTGGGTTTACATACATGACCTATTTTGTGTTGTGGAAGTTTCCTTCTATTCTTAGTTACTTGAATGCTGTCAGTCTAAGGAATGCTCCATTTTGCCACATTTTATTTACCATCTGTGGACATACTTATGTTACCCTTTATTCTGTTAATATGGTGTATTACACTGAGGGAGTTTTATTGCCTTACTGGAATAAATGCCATTTGCTCATGATGCATAACCCTTTTCTACACCATGATCAAAAGGCTGCATTGCTGGAATATGTTCACATGTATATTCCTTGGGAATATTGTTGTGTACTTTTCTTTTCTTGCAATGTCTTTTCATGGCTTTGGTATCAGTGCACTGCTGGCCTGATGGAATAAAGTAAGAAGTGTTTCCCATTTGATTTTTTTTGGAAGACACTGACAAATATTGATGTTAATTCTTCTAATTCTGTGTAGCTCTTGTGTACCTTAACCATGACTACTCCACTGGAAAGCCTACTTTCACAGTGGAAAGCCTACAATCACAAACTGTAATTCTGCTAGGGGAAAGAATCTCTTTGACTTATGGTGTAGCCTGTCCTCTGCTTTCTAAAAAGTGTGCTTCAGCTACAAGAATACACAGTAGTACAATAATGGAGAACCATCTCTGTCTCTTTCCCTACCCACATGTGTGTGTATGTGTGTGTATAGATCAAAGAGAACTTATCAATGAAGTACACACCCGTTAAGTATTTACAGCAACCTGAAGCTGTCTTATGCAATAGAAAATGCAGAATTTAGACCAACTGGAGACCTAGAGTAAGGGAAGAGAGAAAGACAGAGAATTATGGAGAAATGAATTATGTTCCATTTGTTTACATTACATAAAATGTATCCTGTTGCAGACAGACATCATATATAACATATATAACTGTAGTGTCCAGTGCCTTAGAATGTTTCCACAGATACAGGAGTTTTTGAGTTCTTCTCTTATTTACATACAACTCCTACTCCTCTTGTGTTACCTGCTCTGCTCACAATGTTCTCTTTGATGTTGCCTGATGATTTGGGGTGAGCTCTTGACTCAAGGTCTTTGCATATGCGATTTGTCTGCCTTAACTGGTTTTCTCAATGTTATACACATGGGTCACATATCCCTTAGTTTTCCAGCTCATAAGCCCCTTATTAGACATGATACAATGACAGGTTTCCCTTCTACTTAGAACTCCTTTGTCCTGAATTATTTTCCTTATTAGTTGTAACCACCATTTGAAACATCATTGATTCATTTATTTATATTATATTCCTCCCTCTGACACACACACGCACACACACACACACACACACACACACACACACACACCCACCCCTAATACTAAGTCTTGTTAAGTTCAAACACACATCACTACTTTTTGCAATGCTTTCAACCAAACTTGTCACAAGGTATTTTGTTAAATTTTGTTGGGTGAATAAAAAAGTCTCGGGAAATTTATGGAGGAGAACATTGTTTTGAATTATGTTTTTTTATTTGGATCAAGAACTGCTAACAGTTTCAGCCTCACAGAAAACATGGAGCATTTAAGAGTCCCTGAAATTTTCTGGTACATATTCTAGGTTGGTAGAGAATGTGTAAGAATCAATGAGTGCATCATGTTGAAAACACAGCATTGCTCTTAATTCTATGATCACAGCTGGTGTCTTTACAATGCTCTTATCTCTGTTCCAGCTGTTTTCATCAGTTACATGGAAGGAAGAAATCAAACTCATGTTACAGAATTTATCCTCCTGGGACTCTCAGACCAGGGGGAACAGCAGTCTCTGCTCTTTTGGCCGTTCCTGTCCATGTACCTGGTCACCTTCACTGGGAACCTGCTCATGGTTCTGGCCATTATCACGGACTCCCACCTCCACACGCCCATGTACTTCTTCCTCTCCAACCTGTCCTTTTCAGACATCTGTTTCACCTCCACCACCATCCCAAAGATGCTGCTGAACATCCAGACGCAGAGCAGAGCGATCTCCTATGAAGGGTGCCTCAGTCAGATGTACTTTTTCATGCTTTTTGGAGGATTAGACCACTTCCTCTTGACAGTGATGGCCTATGACCGGTTCATGGCCATCTGTCACCCATTGCACTACATGGTCATCATGAACCCCAAGTTCTGTGGCATCCTGCTCCTGGGATCCTGGATACTGAGTGTTCTTGATTCTCTATTACATGAGTTACTGATTTTGCGACTCTCTTTTTGCACAAAGCTTGAAATCCTTCACTTTTTCTGTGAACTTAAGCAGGTGATCCAACTTGCTTGCTCTGATAGGTTCCTCAATGACCTGGCAGTGTATTTGGTAAGTGGACTTCTGGGTGTTGTTCCACTCACTGGTATCCTGTTCTCTTACTCTAGAATTGTCACTTCCATTTTGAGAATTTCATCAGTGAGGGTCAAGTATAAAGCATTTTCCACGTGTGGGTCTCACCTCTCAGTGGTCTCTTTGTTCTATGCTACAGGCCTTGGGGTGTATCTGAGTTCTGCTGCTGCACAAAACTCCAGGGCAAGTGCCATAGCCTCAGTCATGTACACGGTGGTGACGCCCATGCTGAACCCCTTCATCTATGGTCTGAGGAACAGAGACATCAAGCAAGCCCTGGGAAAACTCTTTAGCAGAGGGTCGGTCTCTGCATATAGGATTCTTTGTTTTAAGATAAAGTTATGAATAACAGGGCTTAAGACCCTAGAAGACCTAGATCATGTTATTTAACTCAATTCAGAGACTGACAATCTGCAGTTTATCTTTCTACAGTATTCAGTTGCTAAAAGTTTTTCATACACTATAAGCAACATTTCTTCTGAAATTTTTAAAAGTTTATTTATTTATTTCGAGAGAGAGGGAGCAAGAGCGTGTGGGAGGAGCAGATACAGATTGAAGATATATCCTATACTGTGTCCATATTGTCAGCGCAGAACCTGAAGTGGGGCTCAATCTCAGAAAGCATGAGATCTTGAGGTAAAGCGAAATCAAGTGTTGGACGCTCAACTGACTGAGCCACCCAGGCACCTGTCTTCTGCATTTTAAAAAGTTTTTACACCTTCCATTAAATTCCATTGCATGGGTTTAAAAATATTTTTTTATTGTTTATTCATATTCTGTGTGTGGATGTGTGTGTGTGTTTGTGTGAGAGTGAGAGAGAGAGAGAGAGACAGAGAGAGACAGAGAGAGACAGTGTTGTGGGGGAGGGGCAGAGAGAGAGAGAGGGAGGCACAGAATCAGAAGCAGGCTCCAGGCTCTGAGCTGTCAGCACAGAGCAAGACGCAGGATTTTAAACCATGAATTGTGAGATCATGAGCTGAGCCAAAGTCAGACGCTCAAGCAACTGCGCTACCACGTGCCCCCATTGCATGGATATTTAAGAACATAGACATAATACAGCAAATTGAATACTTCTAATGTGATAGGAAAAGCAGTGGAGCAAATGTGAAATGCTTCTTCTTTGGGTTGAAAGCAGGTATTTGTTAGAGTCTCTGCTTCTGGAAGAAAATCTTTGAACAGATCAGAGGTTGTATACAAGTTTCCAGGGTTTTATGTCAATCTACCTTGGAAGGCAATCACATCTACAAGAGCAGAGGCACCTGGAACCCTCTGTGATTAGTTTACAATAATCCACCTTCAGGACGCAATCATTAGTTTTCCCTCACACAGTCCAAAACATAAATGAAGTGTGAAGGTAATAGAATTGCAACTCCTGATGTTTCCGGCCTTGAAGGTGTCATTCTTGGTGGTTTCCCAGGGATGCATTATTATTTTTCCTTTAATGTTTTGGTAGGCAGCAACGCTGTCCTGTGATTTCCCTCAGCACCTCCTACTGTAATAGGCTCTTCACAGATCTCACACACAATATGGCTACTCTGCCTATTGCCACCGCCATCTTTTCTAATGCTGCATCCCAGAAATTAGGCAGTGTGAGCAGGGTACACTCAATGACCTAACCTGTGTTGTGTGAGACAGACTGAGACGAATGTCTCCTTACCACCTGACCCCGGAGGCCACCACTGGGATTGTCAGCCATAACGGTAATTTCCTCTTACCTGATTCACAGTTTTCCAGCTAAACGTCCACAGGTCCCTCCAAACACTAGTATGCAGATTAATGTTCATGGAACTGTCTCTCAGAAGCAAAGACGAAAAGAAACAGGAAAAGCAGGAAGAAAGGAAGAAAATGAGAAGAAAGGATTAAGAAGAGAGCTTACTCTTCTTAACATTTGCCAGTTTCTATGGGATAATTGCTCTCATCTTGCCCAATATCAAGGTGTCAATTTTAGTTGACACCACGGTCCTCATGAACCATTATGAGCTAGCCAGTGCCATCATCTCAGAGCCTTTGGGTTGGGTTTGGAGGAAATGTAAAGCATTTGTTCCCATTTTACAGCCCTCCATCAGGTGTAAATGGTTCCATCAATCGAAGATCTGGGCAGTGAACATACTCAGGACTGATAGTCCGGTAGAGATTATGACCCTTCATTGTGGTGACTCAGGTCAATCTTTTCTTCATGATCATTGGAGATGCTGTTTTTTATTTTTATTTCTTGGTTTTGGTTAGCTTATATTTTTAGTTACACAAATCGGATGTGCCCTTAGTAAGCTGTCCATTATATTTTTGCGTGGAAATGCTAAACTCTGCTAGTGCAGAGCCTGATAGGGGGTTCAAACTCACAAATTGTTAGATCATGACCTGAGCCAAAATCAAGAGTTGAATGCCTAACAGACTGAGCCACCCAGGCACCCCTGAAATTCTTTTAAAGTATGTCTCTCTTTTTTTCATCTTTTTTTTTTTTTGGTCATGGTGAAATATACATAACATTTTTATTTTAAACATTTTGAGATATACTTATGGGGCCTTAAGTACTTTCTCACAGTTGAGCAACCTCTATCCACCTCCAGAACTGTCTCATATTCTCAAAATGAACCTCTGTCTACTTGAAATACTAAGTTTGTATTGCCCCTCTGCCCAGCCCCTGTCTCCCACCACCCTACCCTCTTGTTCACAAAGGTGATCATTCTGTGTTTACACTTTGAGGAACTGGCACAATCTTTTCTACGGTAGCTGTGCCACGTTTCATTGGCATCAGCAAGTGCCACCAGGTTGCAGTTTCTCCTTATCCTCACCAACAGTTATTTTTTGTTTTGGGTTTTAACAATAGACATTCTAGTACGCATTATACCGTACTCTACATTCTAGTATGCATTCTAGTTGGCATTCTAGTACCCATTATACTATACCATAATCACATTGTAGGTTTGATTTGCATTCCCTAATGATTAGTCATGTTGTGCGTCTAAGTAGCCATGCCTCGATCTTCTTTGGAGAAGTGTCTATTTGAGTCCATAGTCCATGTTCTTTTTCTTTCACCATTACTTTTGTTTTTAAATTTATTTAAAAATTTTAATTCCAGTACAGTTAACATACAGTGTAATACTAGTTTCAGGTGTACAATATAGTGATTCAGCATTTCCGTACAACATCCGGTGCTCATCATGACAAGGACACTCCTTAATCCCCATCACCTATTTCACCCATCCCCCACGCGTCACCCTCTGGTAACTATCAGTTGGTTCTCTGTATAGTTAAGAGTCTTTCTTGGTTTGCCTTTTTTCCCTTTGCTCGTTTGTATTGTTTCTTAAATTCCACATGTGCATGAACTCCTATGGTATTTGTCTTTCTCTGAATTGCTGATTTCGTTTAGTAATAGTCTCTGGGTCCGTGGACCTGATGCCAAAGGCAAGATGTCATTTTTGTTTTCACTGGCTGAAAAATATTCCATCGTGTGTCTACATGTACCGTATCTTCTTTATTCATTCACGTATTGGTTGACACTTGGGCTGCTGCCACCATTTGGTTATCATAAATGATACTACTATAAATATAGAGGTGCAAGTGTCCCTTTGATTTTTTTTTTTTTTTGGTATGTTTTGCGTAATGACCCAGTAGTGCAATTACTGGATTGTGGGGAAGCTTTATTGATGCCTTGAAGGAACCTCTATACTCTTTTCCAGAGTAGCAGCTCCAGTTTTGATTCCCACCAACAATACCAGAGGGTTCTCTTTTTTTTCCCAAACCATTACTCACACTGGTTGTTTCTATTTTTAAAAAATTTTTAACATTTTTTTATTATGGAAGCATTGAATCCCTGTATAGTACACCAGAAACTAATATTACAGTGTATGTTAAGTAACTGGAATTTAAATAAAAGGATTTCGTTAAAAAAATTAAAAAAAAATTTTTTTTTAACGTTTATTTATTTTCGAGACAGAGAGAGACAGAGCATGAACGGGGGAGGGGCAGAGAGAGAGGGAGACACAGAACGGGAAGCAGGCTCCAGGCTCTGAGCCATCAGCCCAGAGCCCGACGCGGGGCTCGAACTCACGGACCGCGAGATCGTGACCTGAGCTGAAGTCGGACGCTTAACCGACTGAGCCACCCAGGCGCCCCCCAAAATTTTTTTAATGTTTATTTCTTTTTGAGAGGAAGAGAGAGAGAGAGAGAGATAATGAGCGGGGAAGGGACAGAGAGGAAGACCAGGAACCTGAAGTGGGCTCCAGGCTCCAAGATGACAGCACAGAGCCTGACGTGGGGCTCAAACTCACAAACCATGAGATCATGACCTGAGCCGAAGTTGGACACTTAACTGACTGAGCCCCTCAGGCACCCCAAAAGGATTGGCTTTTTAAAATTGAATTGTTTGGGTTTTTTTGCTGTGGAATTTTTGAAAATTTTTACATATTTTGGATATTAATCTGTTACCAGGTATGTGCTTTGTCAATCTTTTTTCCGTTTTGTTGGTTGCCTTTTTACTGTGTGCCCTTTCATGCACAAAAATTTTAATTCTGCCCAAATAATTGCTTCTCTAATTGCCTGTGTGTTTGGTGTTCTAAGCAGGAAATCTTTGTCCAATCTAGTGTCATAAAGATGTACCTCTGTATTTTCTTTTAAGTGCCTATAGGTATATTTCTTATGCTTCAGCCTGTGATCCATTTCGAGTCATGTTGGTAGATGGTGGACAGAAGGGTTAGCTTCATCTTTTTGCATGGGGATACCCAGGTTTTCCATCACCATGACTTGAAAAGGCTGTCTATTTACTACTGAACTGTCCTGGCACTCTTGGCAAAAATCATTCAATCATCATATTTGAGTTTATTTCAGGGGCCCCTCGTTTTCCATTGGGTTATATTTCTGTCTTTGTCGCTGTTGTTGAAAACAGACCAGTTTGAAATTATAATGTGGTAAATCTGAAAATCATATTTTCTCCCTTCCCTGGGCATTATTTATATTGAGGTATAATTTACAAGTGTTGTATTAATTTGGCGTGTGCAATGTAATGCTTAACAATTCTATACACTGTTCAGTGCTCATGGACATCAGTGTATTCTTAACACCCTTTATCTATCTCACCCATCCCCACCCACATTCCCTCTTGCAACCACCTGTTTGTTTTCTGTGTTAAGGAGTCTGTGTTTATGTCTGTCTCTTCTCGTTTGGTCCTTTCTTTTAGTTCTTATAGTCCACATATGAGTGACATCAAATGGTATTTGTCTTTCTCTGGCTGGCTCATTTCACTCGGCACTCTGCCCTCTAGGTCCATCCAGTTGCATTCTTACATAATATTTTATTATGTCTTTTCGCCTTTTAAAAGTGTCCATTCCTTCCCTATTTTTCCATGTACAGTTTTCTTTGACTATTGTATCAAGAGTCTATGTCTAACATGATTGCATGGTGAGTTTTCCACAGGGAGAACTTGATCCTCGGCATCTCATCATGAAATCTGCACTGAAACTCCACTATTTTCATAAGTATGTGTCAAACCTGTAGCAAAAATACAAGCATCTCTGCTCTCTGCAGGCTAACTGCTCAGGGTCATGTTTGAATTGTCATACTTGCCCCCTGATTATTGGCCAGCAAGTATGAAGTATTTCCCAC